CGGAGATATTTGTTCCGTTGAGCGTGAATGGGGCATGCGAAACCAATCCGTTCTTCATAAACATCGTTTTTGTGAGATTTAGCCGAAGACTAATCTTTCCATAGGCTTTATTAAAGTCGTCAAGAATACGTTCCGCTTGGATAATGTTTGGTGTTATAATGACGACGTCATCAGCAAAGCGATGATGGTGTAACTGCCGACCATCGATTTTCGCTCCAATATTATCCCATTCTAACGGTCGCATGACGTTCTAGAGGGTGGCGATAAGTAATTTTAGCAAGTTGGTATCGCTTTCCCTAACTCCTCCTTTAACATCAGTGTTAATATCGATATTGAATGGCGATATCTTGCTTGTAAAATTTTTGTACAGCTCACGAAGAATCTTTATGTACTGAACAGGGACTCCTTGACTATCAAGGGTTTCCAAGACTGCTTCCATCTTAACTGAATCAAATGCCTTCTGTAAATCGATGAAAGTGAGACAAAGCGGTCTTTTGTACTCTCACAATACTTCAATCAGCCGTGCTACCGTGTGGATGTGGTCCATCGTACTAAATTCTCTTCGAAACCCTGCTTGTTCACATGGCTGTCCTTCGTCTAGTGTTCTGTCAACGCAGTTTAGGAAAACTCGAGTGAAGAGTTTGTAGACGACAGACAGCAAGCGGATTGGGCGATAGTTGCCGATATCGTATAGGTCACCTTTCGTGAACAATAACGCGGTCTTGCTGGTCCTCCACTGAGTAGAGACTTTGCATTCAGACAGGTAACGTGTGAACAGCCGAGCCAGTGTGTTTACGAGGACTGGCGATAGTTCTACAGGTGTTCTGGTGTTATCCTGTCTCGACCTGGTGCTGTTTGATTTTTCACCTACGAAATAGCATGTTGGATTTCGGAAGGCAGAACCGGTGGTACAACATATCCATCCTTCTTCGATGGGAGGTGCACATTACACTTCCATGTGAATTCTGTGCTGTCGGTCTTCACGCTACATACTCAGTGGAAGACTCATAGAAAGCGGTGAGTGTGCAGAGCTATGCTAAATGTGATTGAAATCTTGGTTTAGCGTTTTCTCTGTTTGGTTATGTAGGTGTTTGGCCGAATGGATTGCTGTCAAGTTGACTCTTCCAGGCTCTGAGGAAGGCGAAATCCGCCGAAACGTCAGCTTGTGCGTAAATAAAGAAATAAAATAGCACCTCGTGTTTGCTGAACAGAAGTAGAAAGATATAATCCGTCCTTCTTTATTTCATATGACGAAAGGTGGACGTGGCTATCAAAGAGATCCGAGTAGTATTCGTGAATGATTTTCTCCATTGCCTTTCTGGATGCTGTAACTGTTCCGTCTGGGCGCCGGAGTGCAATCACCTTGGTCTTGTAATTGACCATGCTTCGGTGGGCTTTGCGAGTGCTTTTCCCAACCCCTGCAGTTTCGATCATTACTGCTGCTCTTCTTTCTTTAAGATCCTATTTATCGCCTATCTGCATTGTTTTGCAAGTTTGGACGATAGTTCGTGGTTGCCTGCAGCTCGTGCGATTTCACGCTGGCGTATCAGCTCTAGTGTTTCTTGAGACAAACGTCTTTTGGTGACTTTCGAACTCTCAGCTTTCATGGCGCTAACGTGAAGATGTTGAATAAGCCGATCGTATTCCTTGTCGATGTTAACGACAACGGCATCGTCTCAGCAGCCGACAGTTGAATTGTGTTGGTTCTGGGACTTCGGTTTTTGAATTAGCGGCTTCTTCTCCTCTCCGTGAGAAGTAGAATCTAGCACGAAGGAGATAGTGGTCTGACCCCGTGTAGAATTTTGAGACAACAGCGACATCGGCCTGGCAAAACCTATTTACTATGTGGTCTACTTCGTTATAGTACTCTCCATTAAGAGAACACCAAGTCCAGCGTTGACGCTGGGGCTTCTGTCATTGCGAGCTACAACGGATGATCTTGGTCGCCATGATAAACTCCGACAGCCGCTCACCCTGTTCGTTTCATTCTAATCCCTGGGTCTCAATGTTACGTTCTTCAGACATTCTTCTTGGCCCAATCTTGGTGTTAATATCTCCAATGGTGATCTTAAAGAATCTGTGATCCTCTCTGTAGAACTACTGCAAGCCCATATAGAACGCTTCAACTTCTTCTTCGTCATAGTTTGATGTCGGCGCGTAAACGACAAAGATTGTCAAAGCCGGAATTGATCCACGTCTTTTTAAACGTTAACATCCGATTCGGGTTGTAACTTGTTCGAACGAATCGATGTGCATGGACAAACTCGTGCTGACGCGAACGCCAATGCCGCCGACTCTACTGTCGCATGTTTCGAGGAACAGTGGGGACGCGCCGCGTAGCCTCGCGACTAACCGGCTCGAGATCGCTCATTTGAGGGAGACCCGTGGGGTGGAATAGTTTTGAGAATTCATGAAAATTGGCATCTTTTTATTTATTTTCTTTCCTGTTTCTACCTCGTTTGCTATGCTATAAAGCATAAAGCGTTTGGCGTTGACCAATCATCACTGAGAGATGTGCAGTGTATTTGACTCAACTAAGTATCATCGAGATGATTAAGCGCAAATCTGGCCTATATAATAACTTCCGCGCTGATTTGTATATCCAATCAGTGTTTTTAATCTCTGGTACTAATCCATCGAACCTGGAGAAATAAGAATTTGCCAATCCCTGCCGGCTGAGTCATATGCATTTTGTAGAAAACGTCTACTATTATACAACTCCTTATGGACTTATCATCCTCAGCACAGATTTTCTGTGAACCACGCAATGTCGTGCATCGAAGACGTATGTCCAACCTCGTTCGCTATCGATATTTTACTAAGGAGATTACAAATGGTGAGCTTTTGCTACAGCTACTTGATAAACGACTTTTATGGCAATGAAACGTGTTTTACATCATTCTATCAATCTCGAAATCTCTAGTGTGTACCAAAATCGTTAGAAACAGATGTAAAGATGGGTTTCAACACTACACCAGAACTGACTACATCAGTGAAATAGATTTAATAGTCTAATAGTCATTTTTCGCGAATCGTGGTTCCTACTTATAATTTTCTAGCGGCTCATATAATACAACCGGGATATCATAAAAACCGATTTTCTTTAGTCTCAGCATAACTAACCAATATTTTCTTAGACGATTACAAGCTACAACAGAGATGCATTGTTGTGAAGAATATAACAAAATTGGAGAATTAGAAATAATGCATGCATAACCATATCATCCAAAAAACCTTGTTCGTTCAAGCCAAATTCCTTATCTCTGTTTCATTTGCATTCTTAGGTAAGCTCTGAAACAGTGACTCCTCTTGCCAGATCAATTAGTGTTTATTGCTAAGTTCTGCGACGGTTTATTCCGTTACGGTTCAGTCAGGATTCTGAATAATGTCCGACTTATTCTTTGTTCCACCAATGTTTTGTCTATGACAGCATGCTTGCTTCACTGATCGAAAAAGGGCGAAAGAGGATCACTGCCTTTTCTTAAACCCGCTAAGCGTGAAAAAACTCTCCATGCAAGAAAAACGGACGGAATCCCTCTTCTTAGCCATCTACTATTAATCGTTTGTAAGACCTTTGATTAAATGTCTATTTTTTAATTGATGAACCTGATTTACCTAATTCCACATACACCAGGACAAGCAGTAAAAGTAAGCTCGATGTACTCTGCTGAAGTCGGTCGTGTGCAAAGGGACGGCGTGACGGCTGGTTTGAAAAGTGTTTACCGACGACTTTGAGAGTGTATCATAGATTTCCACATCCACAATCTGTTTAGACACTTCAGCCAGTTACCTACGATATACGAGTGTCTTTTGTGTCCAATATTTAGACATTCTTGCCGCGCTCCGAGTTCTTTATTATTTCTTTCTGCTAATTTCCATAGCTATATTTATTATATATATGTGTAACTATAGAACACGAACAGATATTGCCGTGACTTACTATAAAACCAGTAAACACCAAATCAGGAAAAAAAATGAGGCACATTTTGGAAACAGTACACAAGTGCCCACCGAGACAAATTCAGTAGATCGGGGTGCAGAAATTAGGTACAGTTGGCTGTTCAGGAGCCTCCTCAGGGGGCATAGGGATTTCGGTAGTTGTGGTCTTCTTTGATTCTCCACCAAAGAACGACGAGAAGAAATCGGAGCCTCCGAACAGATTGCTCACTTGCTGAAATATTCGTCTCCAAAATATGAGATGAATTAAGCTCAAGGTTCTTTCTGAAATCTCTTTTTATTCTCATATATGGGTTTTTCTTGATATTTGATTGTTGATGTTCATCCATGCATGAATAATTTCCATCTCAGCAGATGTTATAATTGTTTGAAGACTCGATGCTTTAGATGGTTTGTATAAGAATGTCATCAACAAGCTGAATTTTCCACTCTTACAATTACCACTTCACAATATTTTTTGCAGTTCAAAAGGTATGATGGTTAACCAACTGGCAAGTGTCTGGGATTACTCCTCGGTCACCAAAAAGTGTACATCCTACAAGGGACCATCCATTCGGTTGTCCGTGGGAAAGAGAATGTATTAGTGACATAGTTAAACATTTGAAAATACGACGAACTTCAATTCTTATAACAACTGTATACTTTTAATGAAAACAGACAGTAGCCAATATACGTTATAGCTGGTCCTACACATGGCGAGCAGAAAGTTCTTTTTTTTTAAATCACAAGAAAGATCTAAGTTAAGTTGGATTTCGACAAAAAAGTACAGAAATGTCTCAAAAAAAAGCAGACCACTGACATACGTGACCTAGTAGAAATTCGAAAACGGTTTCTAACCATTTTCATTATTTCAATCTATCAGTTGACATACTCTCCTCATTAGCGCTACACAAGATGTCCCTATTAACAATTATGCGATAATTTTGCGATATATCAGAGTTACACCTTCCTCTCCTTCTGTGATTTTTGACACTCTAACTTCTGTTCCACGCAGTGATTTCTTTCCGATCACTACTTGCTCACTGCTGCTATTGAAAATCTCCTCAGAAAATGAATAAACGGAAGAAGTGTCTCACCTGCTGTACCTGCTTCTGAACATATTCTTGGTACACGACCTGCTTCTTCTCGAACACCTTTAGCTCTTCAATTTCGCTGGGTGTTAGGTCACGTGCATAAGTTGTACCGACGTAAACCTTGTTGTTCTGTAATACTCTCCTATATTATTCTAAGGTTTGACAATATCTAATTATCTCTATTATTCGCTTCGTAAAAAAACCCTTCGTAGGGTTCTAATTACTTTAACCTTCCCTAATTTTTCCTTCTCTCCTAAAAATACCAAACTCTAAAGAACTCGAAATTTTTTTTGAAGTTTTTGAAGAAAATTGTAAGAAAGAAAGAAGAAAGAACATCCAAAATCTCCGTAGAATTTTTGACTTCACTCAACATGAAACGAAATCATAAAGGCTTTTAACTAGAGTGCAATTAGAAAATAGAAACATCTTTGCAACATGATTGGTTTCATGAGCTAATCATGTTAATTTCTTCACATCGATTTCGGAGGAAAGAAAAAGAAATGTGGCGGAAACCAATGACATCCAGAAATCGGATATAACAAGAATGGCTCGCTCCGTCTTCCCCGTCTTTGGTCTCCATCCAACATTACACTTATTCATCCGGAATAACGAGTTAAACGTTGACCTATAATTCCAGAAAATGGAAAGACGGGAAATTTGAATTTGAATTTTTCGAGCCCAATTTCGAAATGAATTTTGAGAGCCCAAGCCCTCTGATGATGCGCTTTTGCCTGGCTATGCTATGAAAGCATTCTCGAACAAAATCGTCCCAGCAGAACCGGTATTCGTAATAAATAAGAAAACAGAAGCGATCTTACGCTTCAACAAAAGTTTTTGAAACAAGCCTGTTCCGAACATACTATAAAAACATTCCGGTGTAATTTTTGTGAACAAAAACTACATTCCCTCCCACATTCTTCTATTAAGTGAAACAAAGGAAGCACTGTTCACAATGGCAATACTATCCCAATACAAAGTAACCTTCCTTAAATTGAACCGCACCAGCCGGGAAACTACCTAACATGTCCATGTTCCGAATTACCCCCCTACAGTTTCGTTGAGTATATCCTGTTCCTAACAATGACTCAGCGATGCGCCATGATTGCTGCGCAAACAACTCCGTCATTCAAATCCAGCCATCGAAAAACTGCATTGCTATAGGTAAACATTGACTATATTGCATCATTGCATCAATCAGCTATCCTCGATAAGTATACTTCCACTTAAGTTCACCAAATGCATTAACCTCATATAGGTCTCATGATAAGCCCACACATATTTCCTGCGTGTACCATCGCCTATAACGATATTCTATAGTTGGTAAAGAATATATGATTTCTGGGTTATACCTCCGGAATCGGCCAATACCGGTATTTCATTGCAAAGACAATGTAATCGACTTGATTTAAACGAAGACAACATAACCAGAAATGTTTGGTTGTGGAAAACTTGACGTTGAGCAATTTTTTAAACCGTATTTTGTTGTTTGTGACCACAAGAACAATAGAACAGAGCTAGAACCAAAGTTCTGATTCGCGTAAGGAAACCGTTGTGCGTATGTTTCAACTTAGAAGCACTGAGTTCCACATATCGCAGCTGTGCACAAGGTTCTACTCACCTGAACCATACATCCGTCAAAGTAGAACTGAGTGGTATCGTTGGCGGAGCAAAATGATGGCTTTTTCGGTGCCTTTGGAAGATCTTCGGAACTAGTCTCCAGTGACTTCATCTTCTTTCCAGCCATACGTGCCTTCAGATTTTCCTGACGTTCTTTAACGGCTTGCTTAAGACTCTGAAACGATGGTCAATATTCTTCTTCAAAAGTCCTCTACTCAATAGTTACGCTCCAAATAAGAATAGGCAGATTTACCTAACAAGTAGTACAAAAAACTATGAGACCAACAACAAACTCCTTGAATTTTAAGAACAAGTCACACCTACCTCTTTGTATTCGGCCACCTGATTCTGATAGATTTGCAGCTCCTCTTGTTCGATCGGTGTCAATTCACGCAATTTGAATCCGTTTGCATAGACTACATTTCCCTAAAAGATAACACGAATTTCAAATAATTTCGTTAGACATTACTATGAACGTGGCTCTTGGTTTAACTGCATGCTAACCTTGATCAAAAATCCATACCATTTGTAAAGTCAATCTTATGCAACTAAAAGAGAACGTAATACCCACCGTAACGACACACCCGGTGGAACCGCCAACTCCTCCACTGACAGCGATCGTTCCAACTGTAAGGCGTTTCTGCCTAGGAGCAGCGGCAGCAATGGCGATCAAAGCGCACACGAAGATCAGCTTCATCTGAAAGAGGAAGCCTCCTCACACGACCGAAATACGTGACGCATCATTCAATAATAAAATAACGTAGGAAAGAAAAGAGGCAAGAACGCAAATATCAACAAAAAAAACCGAAACCAAGAATTAGCTGCGAATCCAGATCGGATAACTTCGAGTGAAATTCGCGCGTGAAAATGAAGAGGCTTACTAGCTTTTAAAAACTTTCGAGAATAAAACTATGATTTCACAGACCGCACAAAAGAACAGTCGAGAGAAGACAGGCAGCCGGTAAAAACAAAATTCACAGAAAAAGAACGTGTTTAGATGAGTATTTCAGTAAAGACAACAGACTCAGCCAGCAACAGTAAAGTGATCTGGATCCACCAATCACCAATCAGTGGTCAGAGTATCACTTTCGATGTCAACATCTCGTAAGCTATCTGTTACTAGTACATTGGTTCGGGGACCTTTGCATTACCGATGAGTCCGATTTCGCACCTCAGGCTCACCAAGCCTTCTATCTCAGTAAATTAGTATTATGCTTGTCTGGGAAGATAGCAGCACTGGTCCGATACATCGGTAGGCCAGACATGCACTTAATCACCTTCAAACGATGCTAGATGAGGTCGAATGCATGGCACATCCCTAAGGGATCGACGTCAAGGGCTTCTCCTTATCGTCGCCCTTAGTAGAGGCTTCTCCGAGCGATGCCGGAGATTTGTTAGAGACGTGATGTGTCCAGGAAACGAAATGCCACCTTGAAAGACCTCGTCGTGCCAGTCATTCTAGGCCTGCTCAACAGTTTACTTTCCGCATCTAGTTTTACACTAAAAGCTTAATGTTTTCACAGGAAACGCTTCTTAAAGTCGATGATTTTCCTGGATTTTATTTGACACAGCCTTAACTATCATCAATTCTTCGAATAATGTGGAACCTCGATACTCAGCAAGCTGTATTTTCTAAGTCATTTCAATTCATTTCAAAACTAGCACTTTCCTAATCGTCAATTAGGGAGCTGGTGGTGCAGTGGTAGTCATCCCGTTTATTAGGCGGACGGCCCAGCATACCCAGGTCTTTTAACACCGCTGCAGATCAACCAAGCGTCTCATCCACCGGTGTTAGGAAATTAGTCTCACATTAATCTGCGACAAGCTGATTCCCTCCATTCCACGTGGGAACGTCTCAGCACCACTTCTCAGGATTTCAGGGAGCGCCGGCTCGACCACTACTAAACGACATGAATGTCACACACAAACGATAAGTTCGAAGGCCTCCGTGGACTGTGGAGGAGGCGAATCGAATGCAATAAGCGCTAAGATAGGCACAGTGTAATATATATTGTGTCGTATCACGTGATAATATGGAATTGTTGATTATTTGCGAGTCTGTAGAAATAAATGTAGAACCCAACTGGTTGTTTCCACCTTGGTGTTTGATCTGACAACTCACATCCCAGAAACTTCGAGTCAGGTCACTAAATAAATTGTGATTCTCGCAACCGATAAAAGACCTCGAAATCACAGCTGTCAGACAGACGGATCATATTATGGCTTATCTCTACCAACTTTCTTATTAATAAAATGGGCACAGCTCTGTTAAAGTCAAGTCACAGAAGATCTGTCTCGAGTTCATATTCGAGTGCAAGTCTTCCGTAAGAATCTATAAATAGAAGGCTAGAATAGAAGGGAAGGACGATGAAATTAGATAGAAGTGTAGAGAATTTTTCATGGAATAAAGAGATCTATAAATAGAAACAAGGAAGCGGGACGTATGAAGGGACACATCTGAGATGACTAACCACCCTTTGCTTTTATTTCGCGAAAACTTAGAAAAACAATATGAACGTATCCCTTATCATGCTTAAGCTGTGATAAATACCGCTAGTTGGTATATACAGTTTCTTTTTTCGGTGAACAATCTTGGACTTTTGATAGCACTTCAATGTTGAAGAATTACCATTTAGCTCACCTTTCCAATGAATGACGATTGTATATATAGTAGTCAAAACAAATGATAACATCTGATTGCTCCAACGCTGCACGATTTCTCTCACCACCCACTTATCATCTATGTCAGAGATTCTATGGGAGAATTCTCGACATGACCCAGAGATCCCGACTGGGCTAATCATTCTCGAAACAGAACAACGAGAGAGATAGAAAGAGGGCCGGCTGGTGATTGCCGGAGCAACTGGGTGATGAGGAGTTGTAACTAATGACAGGCAGGCAATTGTCAACGTGTCCCACCGGAGCAGGCTATCTCCTGTCAATGTGTCCCTCGGTACCAAACTACCAAGGGACCCGGTGGTGCGGCGAATTGTCTCGTAAGCGTGGGCTTTGTGGATCTTCAGCTTTGAAGCGACTCCGGTTCAATGAAGAACGCCTGTTGAGACACTTTGCCTCAAGCTCCGGCCACCTTAATAAATCCGCTATGGATAAAGTGGTAACGGACCTATATGGGGTCGGAAAGAAAAATAAACGAGAACTGCAAAGCTGAACATGAAGAAATCTTACAAAGCCCTAGACACTAACAGCGTCGGGTTCAGCTTGTAGTCCCACGGTTATTATTGCCGTTAAGAAACCGCCGAAGGAAAGAAACACTGTGTAAGCCATCAGCTAGCTAGTCTCCGTCAAGTGTCAGGATAAAAACCGGGTCAAATGCCGTAACCAGTTCACAAATGGAGCACGAATTATCACGTTGTAATCCTGTAAGGCGGAGAAAAGCATTGATCTTAACCTGTTTTTCTCTTATAGAAATGTAGTTAAAACCGCGGAAACCACAATCTGTGATGAACTTACTCATCAAATGTTATTGGAAATAATAGGCATAAACAACAACCATTAAGTGAGTTATTGAGGAGTCGTGGTCGACGAGAGCGGAGAGGGCGGACGAGGACAGCCACGACATTGAACGCTTCGCAGGACGGCAATGAAAGACGGTGTGCGGAATCGAATGGGCGGAGCATCGCGAACGAAATCGTGTCCGGTCAAACACGCCACCCACGACGCCTTTTTATTTTTCGAGATTTTCACAACTATAATCTTTTAATCCTGAACATTCGTCGATCAGACGTAACCTAAGTGACCACTATAAAATTTGAAACGTACGAAAACACTTTCGACAACTCCGTTGGCGCTTTTCCACTGCCCACGAATGCAGATCACTGTCAGTTTGATCTGCAATAATCAAAAGCGCCAATGAGATTTTCAGCTCCCCATGTCCTCTACTGAGCTGGCACAAAGGCATGAGTGGATTTTATCAACGTTATCACATCTGAAGAACAAATGGCCAATGAAAAATGTGATACAGGTTTCTGGAACTTCGAGAATTCCTGGGTGGATAAAGAACGATGAACATGAATGGTCCAGTGCATTTCAGGTCGACATGTTTCTCTTGGTATCGCTCAATTCGTAAGCGCTAGAAAGTCGATATTTGTTTCTACTTTTGGGCTTCTTTGTATTCGCTTTACTCTTCTTGCCGGTCTAGTCAGTCAAAATATTGGCACTTCTGTTAAAAGATACGGTGCAATGTTGCAAACTTTTACCTGTTCTCTTACCCATATTTTTTTCATTTTATATGATCCGTCTTCACATCTGCGGTATCTAAGCACTTGTTGCATTCGAGTCGCTTCCTCGCATTGGTTGTCCAGCAAGTTCGTATGGTTTCGACACCTGTCCTTTCTTCTAGCATTCTCGTTGAATTTTGGTCGAGGAAATCATTCTATAAATCCTGTAGTAATCGCACTAGCGCATTCCCAGATCTTCGTCACATCACTTTCAATTTCCAAATGATCGTCAAAGTAATAAAAGGATGAGGAATAAAGCTCTCGCTTTTGATCAATCCCTGAGGGATGCGCCACGCACTCGACTTCACTAAGCATCGTTAGAGGTGATTGCATGCATATCTGTCCCTACCAATGGCCCGCAGGGACCTACTGATGGGTGATGGATGTATCGAGCCAGTGTTTCTATCCTCCCAGACGATTCTGGTACCAATTTGCCCACCCCGGAGGCATGGAAGGCTTGGTGTGCCACTGGAGCGGGAACGATCCCAGGTGTTTTGCAGGGCTCCTTCGACCACTGCGTCACACGCACCGCATTATAGTAACACTTTACTTCATTAATAAAGTGATTTTCGACATCGAAGCGGTGAGCGCAAGCTAGTCCCAGTGCGGGAGTGAACCATTACCTTAGCCTTATTGAAGAACATCACTGCGACTGCACTACAGGCACCCCATTATCTGCACTTGATACTTGATGCTTATACTTGAATGGCCTTTCCTCACTGGTTGTGCGGACCCAACATAATCTCCATTTTTCGAGGATTTGCTGGCTAAGCCATTGTGGTTACCTGGAATCCCAAGGTTAGCCTGGCCAAAGTCTGCTCCAGGTTTTGACCACCACGGGCAGTCGCAGCCTTTGTGGATCCGAGGGAGATTTACCACCATGCGACTTTGATACCAGGACGGTGGTGGATCCTGGCATTGGTTCACTCTGAGTTGGGCTTTTTGATGAAAATACCGAACTCCTCCTCAGCTTGGAAGACCTTGCCAGGAGATGAGTCCTCCCGCAGTACATCGCAGTCCGGCACCCAGGAGCACCTCCCAACCACGATGAGGAGGTAAACCGCTGGGAGGATTGCCTGTACTAGTCATACTTAACTCAATTAAAGTTTGCAAAACTTATATTTTTTTATTTTCTTATTTTATTTCGTCCCGCACGTAACATCACGGCTCTGAGGAAGGCGAAGTCGCCGAAACGTCAACCATCGATCAGTAACATCAAAAACAACGACAACGACAACGAAGATCTGTACCAACCTCGCGTCAGCTTAAAAAGATCAGTTTATAAGACCACATAAATAAGTATATCAACTATCTATGCCGAGGTTTATAGAAAGTCGGTCTTTCGAGTTATTTTATTTCGTTTTTGACGCGTCCTCACTTCTACTATGCGGATCCCAGCACTTCTCACATTCAATTCGTTTCCTCACATCCATTGTCCACGATGATCTTCCAACTTTAT